TCCCCAAATAAAGTAGAGCTTTTTTGAGATTAGGAGAGTCATGGAAGCTGCAGAATATCAAATGTGGACACAGTATAAGTGGAAGCTGTGGTGTTGATGATGGGGACCTCAGTGGTGACAGCAGCAGGACCAGGGGATGATTGCTCCAACCATAGGACTTGCTACATATTTAAAGGAAGTAATAAGTAACTTCTCAGAAAGTGAAGCCACCCAGAGGCAGCTAAAGGTGCTAGAGGTCAGTTACTCTGCTTAATACTCAGGAACATGGGGAGCTCTTGAGAATGACAAAATAGACTGTAATCTCTTTAAAGTGGAAGATGGACATAATAGCATGAGTCAATGAGGTCAACTGGAACCATGAGTGTTCTCCATCTGCACAGACTCAAGAGAGTGGTTATTATTCATGAAGCTTTCTTCCTTTACCTGCTAATTCAAGGTCTGTCCCTTATTTAAATAAAATATTCTTATTTCTTTAAATTTCCCTTTGCTGAGCAGAAATTCTTGAGTCCTTTCATGGGTATCATTCAAACATCCATCAGGCCCATTGACTGATCTTCCACTTAAACTAATCCTAAAATAGAAAGCCCTCAAAGGGTAGAAAACAGATTATCCACATATGGATGTGTGCAGTGTATGTTGGTTGAATTATACACAGGGAAAGGCTTCTGTGGTTGTATTTTTTTAATGAGAACACATTGTTATACTCTGAGTACGTGGCATTCTTGCTTAATATAAACATTTACAAGAACACATACACATTTATATCCAAACACAAAATGAAGTAGGTATTTTAAATGACCAGTTTGCACCAGAAATAAAATATATTATACAAAACGGGTTATATCCACAGTCATTAATTCTCATTTTCTACACAAAACAACAATAAATTAAATCACATTATATGCAGATAGTTCTACTTACATTAGAATAATAAATTGTGTGTGGCTTGTGCAGCTTTCACTTTTACTTCTCTACCAGATTTGTAGTAGATTGTGTTGGTTGGTAGTGCTATATTTATGTTAACAATGTATGATATGGTCTAGGAGACAAGGGCCACAGAATTGATACTCAACTATATCTATCCTATATCTTCTTGGTTTCATTAATGCACAGGGAACAAAGCTCCCCTTCCCGGATATATCAGTCTGCAAACTCACAGCATCTCCATGCTGTTGAGGGGGCACTTCTTGCTGTCTTACATTACACTGAACATTTTCAGATCTTGGCATTGACTAATAAATAAGGCACCCCATTTCAAAATCCAAACTCACCCCTTTCCTAGCCTTCTCTGTCCAATATTAATTATGTATTTTAACAGATTTGTTCTAATAGCAAATGAAAAATAATTTGGTAGTTTGCGTTGTAATTTACACAATTTACACATTGTGTAGTAAGTGGACTCTTTCTTCCTTGTGCATAGAAATTTAAGTCTTCAAACATGAATCAAAGCAATGAAACATTTTATTCTACTTGTTCAAATCTCTCCACTAGGAATCGTCCTACACCTGACACATCAAAGAACTATTATAATATATGGATTTTTTTGCTTCTGAGACTCGGTTCCTACTGAAACCCTTCCACGGTGTTTGAAGTATCTTATAACATGAACATAACAGCATCATCTGGTGTAGCATGCTTTGCCTTTGGTATGAATTGACATTAGTGGTTAATGAGAAATTTGAACAAACTCAACCCAGCACCTTTTGAAAGTTATTTTAATTCTACAGTCGATCTGTGGGGTAATGCCTGCAAGAGATATTTGTGAAATCTGCATGCTGAAAACCAAAGTCAGGCTTGTTGGAGTTGATGCACATCACAGGCTTGAACTGTGAGGGGCATGTGTGGTCTAGTTAGTATAGGGTTCTGATGAAAAGCCAGCTACCTTCTTATAACCAGCATTATTTTGCCATTTTCCCTCTAAGGATGTACAGAGGCCTGTTCACAAGTTCCCACTTGCTGACATACCTTCAGCCAAAACGGATGGAGGGTGGGGTTGGGGTGTAAAGACAGTGACAGCCTGCAAAGCTACACTCTTCCATTTCTGTTGGTGGATGAAGTGCCTACTGAGTGTGGCCATTGGAGAGGGACTAAATTGTTGGTTATTCTTCAATTCTAAGACAAACTGAAAAAGAAACTCATCCCTCTGAATATCACCATCTCATTCCCTCTGTTTCCAAGCTGCCCCTAAACATATCCTGTGTTTTTAAAAAGTTTCAGTTTTTTCCACTGAATGAGAAATTGAACTCATTACCAGCTTCCTTAGGAGGCCCTGAACCACAGGGTGTAACTAAACAAAACCCATGATAGGTAGATCAAGGAGCCTAATTTAGGTTGGCGTTTGCCTTGAGGACTGCATCCATTCAGCATCAGAGTTCTTTGTGTCCCCAAAACACAGACACTTGCTCCTTCCAATTTATGAACACTTCCTTAATACTGGTGGCCTAGTATTCCACTCAGTCTCCTGAAGAGACTTCCATAAATAGCCAGCATGTGCCCACTTACAGGAAGGCGACGATGCCACTGGACCTAATTCTGAATCCACGGCTGTCTGTGTGTGAGGTCTACCTTGGCCTTGATTTTCACTGCCCACAGCAGATCTTAGGCCCCAAATCGGTCCCAACCAGAAGAAAAGTGATGATAGGGGCAAAGAAAGCACATGGGCCTTGAGCTAATTAATGGTCCTCAAAGCCTGTGAACAGGGAGACGTGATTGGCACTCCAAAGCAAAAAATCTTTGAACTTTAGGAAGGAGAAAAGGAGGCATTTGTTCTTTCCAAACATTTCTGCCCTCCCTCCATTAAATGTGGCTTCTGACATTTAGAGAATTATTATAAAGCCTATGGAGCCATATCTGTGGTTCAGAGAAAAACAAGTTGATGATTCTTCAGACAAATGCAGTTTCCAGGGGCTTCCTCATAAAACCTATGATCAGGCTGCAGAAAAATATGGACTGTATGCAGGAAGTTCTTTCCAGATACAAGTTGTTCATGTGGGGAAAGTTTTTGTTTCTGAGTTCCTCTCCCACCCTCCAAAATCTACGACAATAATAATGGCATAAAATCTACACTTATTTCTAACATCAAAGAATATATGCTCATTTTGACCTGTATCAATGTGAGCTTATATGTGACCAGATGAAGAATACTGATAAAATATCCTTTTTGAAATCTGAACACCTTGGATTTCAGGGTAAAACTTTATTTTAAGAACCAAAGCCCTATTTATTTTATTATATAATTTGTGGCTCTTGGCAGAGTATGAATGACTAGTTGTCAAGATGTTGCTTAACAATTAAGAATTTAAGTCCCAAAATACAACCTCTAGAGATCTTAATGCAGGACAACCTTGGGCCAAACATCTATACTTTTAGCAAAGGTTTCCCACTGGGGAACTTTCAGAACTTAATGGAGTAATTCATATGAAGATTTCAAGGAAGAAAAAACAATAGAGATGTAAATAAGCAACCAGAATGATTTCCACATACCAAAAACCTTGTGATCTGTTCCTGCCATTTTTAAAAGATTAAATTCTCACTTGTCTTTAAGATCTTAACTAGGGATACAATATTAAATTTAGAACTACTTTTCTATCTGAAGTATTAAAAAAAGATATTTACTCTAAAAATGTTGGTGTTTGTGGGCACACTAAAAGATTAGAAGTGTTTATAACCAAAGACAACAACCAGGTAGAGTAATAAGCACCTAGGTTTGGAAGGTAAATGTTCTCACCAAATAAAAATTAATAGAAAATGAATATCTCTAAAATATATGAAAAACACCATTGAAAAGTAAGAGTTAAAGAGAAATCAGTTCTCTGATTCACATAATTAAGGTAGATGTGATCCCTCCTCACCTCTGTTTTGGCTCTGGGGACCCCATAGCCATCAAACATCGCTTTCCTGTGTTTTACTTCTCAATCTTCCTACATCTGGATTTCAGGAGTTTGCCTTTCTTGACTTCTTTTTTTTCCCCACTGTTTTTAGAATTCAGCACTTTTTACTTTGCATTCAGCATGGGGACCTACAACTGTCATTGTTTCTGTGACTATTATTAATTCATCTTCCACACCCTCCCAGCAACCTGCATCCCATTTTCTAAACAATAGAGGGAAAACTGGCCCATGCAGAAAAACTCCTTCCCTTAGGATGATGAATTGTGAGTCACAGAGCAGTCCCTTGGGGAAGCAGGCTCAGGCTAAGGACAAGGACATGCTGCACCCACTCAGCTTGCCTCCACACTCACCTTCGCACCACCACCACCACCACCACTGAGGAGCTGTTCAGACTCCTGTCTGTGGCCTTTACAGATATGAAGATGACTTTTAAAACTATGTTTCAGATCCTCAAAGTGTGGCTAAGGAAGAACCCTGGTTGCATAACTATAAGATGGAACACTCATCAGACAGCCACCCATCTTCCCCCACTGTAATCCTCTGTGCACCATCATGGATGCAAAGTAGATACCCAATAAGTACTTATTTTCCTTCTCCAAAATTCCTAATGTCTGCACCTAACCCACTCATTAACACAGGTGTTTAGGGGGTGGCCATGAAGCTCTATGGAGTTGACTGCAAGCGGACATGGTGGACATTTAGATGCCCTCTTTTAGCCAAAATCACCACTGTGAATTTTGGCAAATATCATGTATGTGGTTTTTTCAATTTCTCATTTCTGTGCTTACTGTCAAATTCTCTCTCTATTTAGTTGTTCTTGAGGAAAAAACGCTACCTGTCTTTATAAAACTCTGTTTAATTCTAAATAGCTTTTCCTTCCTGATCTTGAAACTCATAATCTAGCCAGAATTGGAAGGGATATAACCCTGAAATGATTTGCACTTAAAACAGTCAAAAATGCAAAATGGTTTCGGAAATTTATGACTCCTGTGTCTATAACCTGAATACAGTTCTAGCTCTCTGTGATTAAAGCAGCAATCTGGCCAAGATAGAAACAGAAGAGAAGTATCTTTCATCATCATTGATTTGTTGTACACTTTACCCATTCATTTAAAATATAAGTGAAATTTAATCTTCAAAATGAAAAAATAGACACATTTTTCTAATACCAAAATATAAGATTAAAATACTTAAAAATAAAATGTTAGTGTGAAATAGGTTTTTTTACATAAAAAAGAAAGAAACATTTCAGACTTGCTTTTCTTGTAAAAACCCTCCTACCTCACTAATATTTACAACTTTCCAGAGTAGCTTTTATGAGACACTGAGAGAGACAGGGAGGATCCTTTCTCGAGATATGAAGTCAGACCTGAATGTAGACGTTAGACAGAGCCCTGCTCCACCACAACCTGTCCTCCAGCTCCAGAGAGACGGACACTGTATTTCCAACCTCGAATTTTTTTCATTACAGTTTCCTCTCATTGGGTGTTAAATTCTTTCCAAGAATATTCTACTTATAAAAATGATTTTATTCTAGCTACAAAACAGTTCATTTAAGAAAACCACATTTTTATATCCTTGTGTGAAATGTCCCCAGAAACCATCCAGATATGGAGACAGCAGGTTGTAAAAACACAAGTCTAATTCTATGCCCTCCAAGCAGTATGAACATTTAACAGAGTGACGTTATATCCTTATATTTCTTTGTCATGAGATGAAAGGCTAGGAGGCCAATGGTGATTAATAATAGTTCCTGAGCTTCTAAAGAAATTTTAAGACAAAATGACTAACTGCTTAAAAGAATGAATTCTTCAAGAACACCCCTTCTGTTCCATGGATGTCTTTCATCCCAGCTTAAGAATCTCAAGCAGAGGGGGTGGGCGGGGAGGAAGGCTTCTTTTAAGCCACTGAAAAATGGGATCTGATGGAATCTTCCCGCAACTCTCGATGTTTTCCAATGTTACTTTCTTCTTGCTGGTTTCGCCTCTCAATGGTTATTCTGTATTTCTTCCTGGGTAAAGGGAAAGTAAATGTAGTAATAAAACCTCGCTGGCTACAAAATACTATGGTTTCTCTTACAGAGAATGCCCTCAAGGGACATCTGGGTTTGGTTTGATAAATGAGAAGTGACAGAATACGAAACCCTGGTCAGAGATTAAAGTAGTGTGCCCCAAGGCGTTATGTCTCTATTCAAGCACAAAAATTGGCATGCTCTCCGAAAGACCATAGAACAAGCCTTCCCCTTCTTCCCTGGGTGCCTTGTGGGTGAGGTCTTGTCCATTCTGCCACAGAGGCGCTGCTTGATTCCCAGGATATGCTCCAGATAGCATCAGATGAAGGGTACTGTGACCAAAGGAACAGGAGTACAATTGTTTCCATAAAGGGTCACACACACTGGGAGTTACAATTCCATGCAGAAGTAAAGAAATCTTGGGTCTGATGACATAAAAAGAAGTCACAGACCCAGCCGTCAGAGATTACAAAGGAATGGATTGCCTTGCAGAGTGAAGCAATCAGCACCTTGGACACATGAACAGAATACAATTTTACAGGGCTTGGGGCTTAGCCACTGTGGTAACCCAGCATGCGAGTTCTCCAAGTACAGCGCACAGAGCAGCCAGAGAGCAGGGAATGCTCAGACTCCTTCTCCTCATGAGGAAGGCAAACACAGGCACCTATTTCTGAATTGAAGGATGCCTGCACACGGGGAAGTCCCTTGCACCCTCTGTCCAGATTCCCTCTCTATTCATAGGTTTTGGTGAGTGCCAGGAATGCTTGTCAGAATATCTGTGGTCAAAGGATCACAGCAGGTCTCTGGCCCCAGGGGTTGGGGGTCATTACAACAGAAATTTGTGACCCCAGTACCCACTTCGTTAACCCACTGACCATCAAGCCCAGGTCACACTAAAAGAATAGCTTGGATCTTTAAACCTCCAAGCTTCCTGGGGGAAAGAAAGATATAGACAAATCACAAGGAGCACTGTGCAAGGATAATTGGCAGAGGCAGTAAAGGGAGTGACTCTTGACTTTATAAAACTGTTCCTACCTGAAAAAGTAGAAGGCCATTAGCAAACCAGCTCCAAGAAGGGCCCCCACAACAATTCCAGTCACTGCTGATTCTTCTAGGCCACCTGCTTGAAAAAGAAACAGACAATCAAGGATCATTTTGAGAAACTGATAGAAATGAAAGTTTCATTCATTGGAAAGTATCTCTCAATCTCTCTCTCAAAGCAAAATTTCCTTTCTTTGTAAGAAAAAAAGTTCCTAGGAGATCCTGGTTTCTTTGTTTCCTTGCTTAGTGTAAAGCTTAAGAAACGCTTTTGGGAAAGCACTAGATAAACATACTGCTGCAAGACAGTGAGCAGAATGGCAACCGAAACAGATTCTAGAAGGATCTGAGGAAAACTGGAAACCAAAGACTTCAGATATATCCACACTCTTTAGAGTTGATAGTCAAGGACAACTGGGTGGACCACGGCGCTGACCCAGCACTTCTTTTTTTTTTCACAGATGGATGGTAACACTTAAAGGCGCTAGAAGATTTGGTGAAAAATTCACTGGGGCAGGGTTCTGTTTTTAGATATTCTCTCACAAAAGCCAGAGTTCCATGTCAAAATGTCCTATATAACTCTGTGAAAAGGTGAATCATAATTTGAAATAATCCTGTTTGGTAGTGTCCTAGTTATATAAAAATGATAAATAACTAGCTCATACATACAGAATTTAACATAAGGCCTTTGGAGTATTGTCTCATTTAGTCCCCATACAGAAGACTTAAGAGTTGGGCACATTTCTTTCATTTACATATGGGGAAAGTGAGGCTTTGAAAGAGTTAAGGGAATACTCCAAGGGTCAAAAAAACCAGCAAGTGATGAGGGTAAGCAATCAGAGCCAGGTCTACTAACTTCAGAAACTTAGCACATATAGTTCTTCCTAGATTCCTTTCCATAATTATTGCCTGGATAGACATACTTTATAATTTGAAAAACAAATGGGCCCAAAAAATAATGAGCGTATGTATATCCACCTAAAATGATAAACCTTCCTGAAAGATGGATCCCCACCTGATTCTGTATCACCAGGCCGTAAAGGGTCTAAAATGATGGTTTTTAATGCTTTTCCTTCCTACATGAGTCATAAAAATATCCATTTGCATCTCTGTTTATTTACAGAGGCTTTTCATAGATAATGTTTCATGCTTATTTGGCAATTTATTAAATTTTCAGGTGTTTAAAAGGCAAGGAGACCCTCATTGTTATACAAAATTACATATAAGAGGTTGTGAGGGGAAAAGGAAAAAAATAAAAAAAAAACAAGGGAGAGAATTAAATTACAGCAGATGGGATAGAGAGAGAGGATGGGAGGGGAGGGGAGGGGGGATAGTAGAGGATAGGAAAGGTAGCAGAATATAACAGTTACTAATACGGCATTATGTAAAAATGTGGATGTGTAACCGATGTGATTCTGCAATTTGTATACGGGGTAAAAATGGGAGTTCATAACCCACTTGAATCTAAAGTATGAAATATGATATGTCAAGAGCTTTGTAATGTTTTGAACAACCAATAAAAATAAATAAATAAAAGGCACTATCTGTTTGATTCTGAGGAGTTGGAGGATAACTACAGACCAAAAATCCAAATGAGACTTGTTATGCTCTTATGATAGATAAATAAGTGCACAGAGTTTAGTGATTGATATTTTTATTTCACCTGAAAGTGGAAACCTCAAATAACTAAGGTTACAATAAGAGATGTAAAACCAGGAGAAGGCTTCTACTATTTTGGAAGAGAGGAATGGAAGAGAAGAAAGATCTAGAAGCCTCTAATAAAGATAAGCACCAGTTTGTGAACTGTTCTCGTGTGCTTTATCACATCAAGGAAAAAAAAAAAAGAAATGGAAAATTTCAGAACAGGAGCTTCCACAGAACACCTGCACGTGAGACTTCGCACAATCCTGAGACTGAGAAGAGGAAACACACAGCAGATTAAGTCTCTAAACTTACACGATTTGCAAGGAGGGCCATTGCTATGCTCCACAGTTCTGGTTTCATCTATTCGCAGTTTCAAAGGGCCCCAAGGATATTTAACATTAGGACGCATTTCAAAACGACCCTCTTTTCCAAAGTAGTCGCCAATAACCTACAAAAAGGAAAAAAAAATTAACAAAAGGAAAGGTCAAAGGTATCTGTTTCCAAAACAGACACTAAGCTCACAGCCTTGCATTACCACCCCAAAAAATGCACAGCCTGAACTAAATGCCTCCAGTACCAAGGAAGCCACACAGCCCCTCACATCAATTCACCTCTTGCGGGAGTGACAGCAGGAGCTGTCCCTGGTATTCTGCAGTTACATTACCAAGTGAAAAGAGAAGAGTTCTCCCCTCCACACAAAAACAGTGATCTTGGCCTTTTCCTTGCTCATCTGACAGGACATTGCTTCACCTACCTGCCACAGAGCAGCCACGCAATCAGCCATTTGTAAGGCCCCAGTAATCTCAGGGAGGAGTGCAGGAAAGCCATGGGTCACTGAATACCCAGGCTACCCCTCATTTAGTTTAGCATATAATTAAAGCATTAAATAGTATCTTTTAAGAACATCCTGTTTTGCCTCATTCGGTTGAAAGGCAAGTCCTTTGGGGGTCACATTCTCCTCTCCAATAAATTCACCCCTTTTCTATCCTCATTACCAACCTGAACTCTTTCAGTTGTGTCCTAGAAAACTGTTACTTTTTCCTGGTTCAGTTTCAGGGTCACCCCTTGGATTCTGGTTAAGATGACCAACCAGCTCCCCAAGCCAGGATCTGGGAGTACCCTCCCACTGGGTTCTCAGAATTCGTCTTTCTTTTGTCTGGGCACAGGCACATGGCTTCTAGGCAGCTGGGGATAGCCTCTCTCTCTCTCTCTCCTGACTGGGGCCCAGCAGGCTCTCACAGGCTACATGGGGTCACAATAAAAAGAGTTCTAGATCCTTACTAAAATAATACCAATCACTAATGTGCACCAAGCTGTTACCAAGTTCCTTATACTCCCACACCTGCAGCCTCACAATGGACCATGATGGAATATTACTTCCCACCTTTCCTTGAGGAGGACACTGTACTACAGATGAGACCCAAACCACCAAAAAGGTAAGCAGTGAAGGTAATTCTGGCTGCCTTGTGCCTCTTGCACAAAGACCAGGCACATCTGTACAGGGAGAAAACAACAGTTTCCACATGCCAAGACCATAAAGGGCAACAAGAGCAATGACCCTGGGCAAGAACTTTCAAAGAAACACAGGGAAGTGGCATTAAATTGCTGGAACATCACATGTTTGTAAAATTCTTATACACATATTTATTACCAAGTGTGTATGGTACTTTTCTAGGTTTCGTCTTATCTGGTCCTCACAACAGTCTTGTGAGATTAGCAAGGAAGCTATTATGATTTTTATGTTATAGCTGAGAAAACTGAGATAGAGAGCTCACACCCCCAGTAAGCATCAGACTCATCTTTTCACTTCAGATGCTATCCTGAAACTATACCATCTTTTGAAATATTAACATGTGTAGAATTTATAACCACTCTCTCTCTCTCTCTCTCTCTCTCTCTCTCTCTCTCTCTCTCTCTCTCTCTCTCTCTCTCACACACACACACACATAAATCCCAAAATCTAAGGGACAAATACAGTTTCACTTTACCTCTTTCATCCAATGCCCCTGTTGCAGAGGACTCCATGTGATTCTTGATCACTTGAAAGTTTGGATTTCCCCAGGGAGAATAAACATGGAATCATTTCCTGACGTCCTCCCCAATACCCTCAACCAACAGTGAGCTCTCCCTACTTGGAAACTCCCATGTATTCAATTCCTTTGCATCTGAGGGCTGCTTTGGATACCAAGACAAATCCACTCTTGGAGTCCCCATGTGCAGAAGGAGCTATGGATGCAGAAGTCTCGTTTGCTCACCTCCTGGGTCCCTGCTTCGACGTCCGTCATGGCAATCACAGAGAAGTCCCCGTACCGATCTCCATTGGCATCTATGGAGACCTGCCCAGCAATACCTGCAGGACAAAAAGTGAGGAACTCCAGGTTGGTTACTTAAAATACCTCTGTCTGCCAAGAAGAACCAGAAAATGAATTGAGAGGATTTCTTTAAACAAATTCATGCCACAGGGAATCTCATCAGACTTCGGCATTTTTGTTGGCATTTGGAAAGACATTGTAATTTCATCTGTGTCTGCATTCCTAAATTCTTAACATTTCTCCATTTAAAAATGAAAAGAAAGAGAAATAAATGATCTTCGTTGGAGAGTATGGTTAAAAAAAAAAAGATTAAGACTAATCCTGAAAGCAGAATGCTTATTCCTGAGTTTTTTATCAATTTTTCTAAAAAATGGCTGAGTAGGCAGTGGAGGTGGGGTACATTCACAGCCTTTTCATAGGTTCCATTATCACTGGACAAATGTTACCAAAGAAAAATCATTCCAGGCCCAAGACCCCATGAACATGCTTGAAACAGGCTTCTTTCCTATACAGGAAAGCAGAGGGGCTCCTTCATGAGTCATCAGAACCAATAGCTGAAGCACTATTCTTCTTTATCCTGATGGGCTCATTATTTATCCACGTGTCTGGAAGGTGACTAGGTGCTGAATTAGTATGGCAGCTGAGGCCAACTTCAATCAGACACATTCTCTGCTCAAGAGAGGGACAGACTGAACTGGGGATTTAGCTGGCTCACCCGAGAGTCTAACTGCTTGCACTGAATTCCAGCATTAACATTTCCTGCCTTTGTGACCTTGGGCAAGGCACTTATCCCTCTGAGTATCAGTCACCACAAGTGTAAAAGAAGCATCATAACACTTCCCTCCCGAGGGGCAGGAGAGATGATGACATGGGATAAAACAGGTAAAGCACTCCGACACATATTTAAGAGAAGTTAGGTGTTTCCTTCTGGTGTTATAACTATCACTATTGCTAATACTACAGATTGAGATTCTTTACCAAATGTTTGGGACCAGAAATGTTTTGGGTTTCAGGGTTTTGCATATTTTATAACACTTGCATATAAGATGTGAAATATCTTAGGGATGGAACTCACATCTAAACAGAAAATTCATTTATGTTTCATAGATATCTGATGCACATAGCCAGAAGGTTAATTTTACATAATATTTTAAATAACTTTGTGCATGAAACAAACTTTCACAGTGAGGAACTTTCCACCTGCAGTGTCATTTCAGCACTCAAAAAGTTTTGGATTTTGGAGCACTTTGAATTTCAGATATTTTAATTAAAGATGCTTATCCTGTATTTATCTTATAATTACTATTATTGTTACTTTGCTTGAGGTCAGACAGAAAACACCTGACCATGCCCAATCTCTCAGAGAATGAACTAGCTCATTGAGTTGGAGAATGAGAAGGGATTCAGTAAAAGAGCAGGGATTTTATAGGTACATGGGAGGAAGTAGCAATTGAGACAAGCAGCAATTGAGTAGTGTGAGTATATAGGCAGAAAGGTTGGCCTATTTGTATTTACCAAGGCAGAGAGGCCAAGAAGAACCAGAGGAACTGTGAGGTTTCCGGGGAGATGGCCCATGTGCATGAAGGGGTACAGTAAGAGGTAAGGCTGGAATGTAGAGTGGAGAAAACAACACACACTTGCTTCAGCCAGCGATGATGAGCTGATATTAAATACATCTGTATTCTCATTTTCATTCACTAAGTTGGAGAATGCTTACGTCAGCCACATTCTGATTGACTAAAGCTATTTGTCTTATTTTGGGGGAGTTCCATGTAATTCTTAATTGGCATTTCTATTGATTTGGGTCTCTTGGGAAGTACCGACGGCTCCAGTAAAATGGTTGTCTGGGGAAAAGCATCCCAAGGGAAAGTTCCATCCTCTGGTGTGGTCTGGAGAGGGCAAGTATTTGGGTTTACTGTCCTTTGGGCTGTGGTTTTAAGGTCCACTGATTTTTCCAGACTTTGGTCTACTTTGCTGGAAACAGAATGGAGCTACCATTCATCCTGATTTTTTGTCTTCTTAATATAGACTGGTTATAAAGAATACACCTATCTTCAACTTGTGTATCCTTAACAGGCTATAAAACATTTAAGCAATAAATATGTTGTGTGTGTGTGTGTGTGTGTGTGTGTGTGTGTGTGTGTGTGTGATATTGGCTATCCAAAACCATTTATCTTTCTCTGCAGAGGTGTTTGAGAGGGTGTGTCCTGCTAAGTGTTTTTCAGAGTATTTTATAAGGCAAGGTGGCCCTAGTAATCCAAGACCTCATTACACCTTTAAGTTTTGACAATTCTGCCAAGAAAGGGGGTGAGAACCCTCAGGATGGCCAATTAGCAAAGTGAGATTTCACCTGAGAGTATCGAACATAAGGCGAGATTGTCAGGCTGACAGCATAATTTTCCTGTCCATGAGTAATGAGACCTTCCCCCTCATTTCTATTTGCCTGTAGTGGACGGAGCTCAAGGTCTGAGCCACAGTCCTATTTACCCTGTCACTCTGACCTCTCACACAGAGGAAACTCAGCTTCTTCCCAAGCCATTTATTGAAAGTCTTGAGAGTTGATCACAGGGTTCGTGGCAATAAAATCCAAATTTGTCAAATAACATCCAGAGTATTTTTACCTTGACAACTTAATGATCACTTACGGTGACCACTAAAATTAAAATTGTTTTTAATTTTAGGAAGGTTAAGGTTTTTCTTCATACAGATATCTTAGCGTTCTTTGGGGGCCTACCCTCAAATGGATCATTGTTTAGCAAATAAAAAGGCTCTGCAAACCATTCAAACCCAAAACTTATCTTGGCTTCAAGTGTCTTTACATTTGGACATACGGGATGCTAATTTTAGACCAAACTAGACAATTGATTGTTTCAGGATTCATTTCATATTGATGTGTAGACCCCACTCTGGAAAGGAAGTATCTAATCAAGATGGCCCACAGGAAAATCCATCCCATGCTCTGGCTCTAAAAAAACTATATTCCAACCACCATGGGCACCTGCCCTTCCCTAACGACCTCCCTCAGCGGTGCCCTCCAGCATCCCCCAACTCTGGCTTCTGTCCCTCTGTCAAAAGACCAAGAACAGATGACCACACCAGGAGTGAGTAACAGTTACAAATGGGATGTGGCCGACCAAGGTTGTGTCCCCACACATGGGCTTCTCCGCGTATTGTGCACAGCTTCTGGGAAATTCGACCTTGTCCTAATGTGCCCCTTGAATCACCCTGTTTGATCCCAGCTCCTCAGCTAAAGCAGTGAGAGGTAAAGCAAGATCACTCTGGAGACTTACTCACTCACATCCGACTATCAGCCCAGAGTAAAGGAGATGTCACTCTGGTTTCAAGTAAGACACAGCATCCATTGAAACCACCATGGAAAATGAAATCCACCAATGGCCACCATGGCTACTCCCCAGACAACACTAAATGGAGCCTGACCCCTTCCTTCTGTCCTAACCTTTGTAATGACTAAGGATGAGGTGAGGCCATAGAGTGGCTAGGAGGCCTTCATGGGGAAAAAATAAAAAGTGCCCAAAACCTGGACTTGGTTGTTCCTGATGCTGAGATTTTTCACTAGTGTGATTACGAAGACATGCATCTGCGTACCCCAATCCATGAAAGGGTCAAAGGAAGAGTTAGCACAACGTAGAACTGGGAGAAGGGTCCTTGCCAGTCATCAGCTAGCCCAACCTCCTGACCAAGCAGGTCAAGAAAGAAAAGCCCAGAGGAAAGAGGTTATTAGTCAGTGGCTGGTGTGAGGGTCCCTGATCCCTGGTCCTTTCATCTGCACTTATGTTAATGGTTCTCAGAAGAAGCCCCTCAGCATACTACAGTTTATTTCAATAAATAATGCAGATCATTATCACTCTAAACCCATGGGTGGCTTTCCAAATCACCCAAATGGAGCCCAGTTCCTCAGCAAGGCATCTGGGTCCACAGGCTGTCTGGTTTTGACCCCTATCACACTGCCCACACAGGGGGAGTCAGTCACACAGACTCCCCGCTCCTCAGGGGACACTGCACTTTGTAACCGGGGGCAGTGAGGCTCTCTGCAATTGCTGCTCCTCCTGCAGGGTTCTCCTCAACAGCTCCATAACCTCTCCCCCTTCTCAAGTCTCTACCAACTGCTAACTCAGGCAGGCCTTCCCTGACCACTGAACCAGCTCCTTCTACCTCCCTACCCTGCTTCACTTCATAACCCCTGAAATGGAATGCCTTTTAACTCTCTGTTCCTCCCTCTTGATGTAAGCTCAACTGATCACAGGGAACATTTTTAGTTCACTGGCAAATCCTCAGCACCTTGAATACTGCCTGGTACATAGTAGGTACTCAGAGGATGTTTGTCAAATGAATCAATGAATGAATATTCCCATATTAGATTTTTTTGGTTTTTTGAGGTTAGAGGAAACCTGTACTCTTCTGTACATTGTTGGCAGAATATAGATTAGTAGACCTTTCTGAAAGACGACTTGGCAATATCTAATGCAATTTATAAAGCACCAAAGTATTTTTAGACCCAGAAATCTCACAACTAGGCATGTTCTCTGTTGGAAATAGTCACAAAAATTTACTAAAATGGGCAAGAAACCTGTGATAGCATATTGTATAACAGCAAAAACTGTAAACACTTAAAAGTTGAGTAAAGAAATGCTGGTACAGACATAAGGTGGAATTAATATATAATTCTCACTGTATGTTGGATCTATGAGTGCTCATAAGAAAAATTCTTTTATTTGACATACAAGCAGGAAAAATGGTAAGATGAAAAATGACGTTCTCATATGATCCGTTTGTGTAAAGTGTACATGCAAGCAGAAGGCATAAAATAATGTTAGACAGGAGCACATAGGAAACTGTCGATATTGATGGCATTGGGGAAAGAGCACTAGGGCGGAAAGGAAAGCTTTAACTTTTCATTTTGTACTGTTTAAATTTGTTAGCCAACAAAAGTCTCATTCGTGTATAATTTGTAAATGTCAAATGAGGTTGCTTGAGTGTTGAGGCTATAGGCCTCCCCACCGCTGCTGTTGTTCTCAGACTTCTCTATTTTTAATAAAGCAACACTACAGCAACTCAGGAGGCTGAGGCAGAAGAGCTGCAAGTCTGAGGCCAGCCTCAGCAACTTAGCGAGTTCCTAAGCAATTTAGTGAGATCCATAAAATAAAGAGATAAAAAGGGCTGGGGATGTAGCTCAGTGGTTAAGTGGCCTGGGGTTCAAGCCCCAGTACCAAAAGAAAGAGTGGGGTCGGGGAGAGAGAAGGAGAATATTAGCCATTTTAAAAGTAAATAAAAGCAGAGGGCCCAGGTGGACCTGCACACCATCTTTAATCACCAGGTTTAACCACGACAGCAGTCTCTTCAGAGCGTCGCAAAAACCAACACAGTCTGAACAAGGAATGTCTACCTGTAATTTCTTCACAAACCAATTGTCCTGCTGGGAATGAAACTCGTGTTCAATGTAAATTGAAAAAGCATAAAGTTGCTACCTAAATAATCAGAAGACAAGAAGATATTTCCTATTTTGGTGGGACCTTCTCAAAGCACATCCACATAACCTAATTTCATTTAATTTTTCACAAGCCTGTAAGGTAGGTTGATCTTGATTTTTATCCATACTTTAAAACTAGGAAAAGCAAGACATCGAAAGGTCCCACAGATCAACAGAGAGAAAGAGACCCACCGAAGCAGCCGCTTAGTGGGCTGCAATGCTGTCTCCATGTAGATCAAATCCCTACCTTCAAATGTTCTGTTCCAGGTCTGCTGGATAATCTTCCCACCATCCTTCTTGCTATAACCAGCTCTGAGTACTTCATGTAAAGCCAGGACATAGAGGAGGATGGCATCATGGAATCCTTCAACGAACATGTTCACCTGGAAAGAAAGCCCCGTTGGGTGATCCCAAAGACCAGCTGACTCACATTCACCATGTAACAGAAGCAATCACAACAGTTAACAAGTGGTCTGGGGGTCCACGAGCAATGCAGGGGTGGGCAGAGGGGAACTAACTAGAGTCATGTCAAAGTTTTCCTGGCACTGGCTTAGTGAAGAAAACTCTCCCCCTGTGTGGGTTTTACAGAAGCCAAGAAAATCACACACATTAGGACTGTGTTGGGGCTCAGAGGTAGAGCACTCATCTCGCATGCATGAGGCACTGGGTTCAATCCTCAGCACCACATGAAAATAAAATAAAGGTATTGTGACAAAAAGGAAAAAAAAACATTGGCCAGGTGAAGTGTTCCAGGCATACCGGCCTTTGCCAATAGTTGCCTCTCAGGGAGTGTCCTCCTCTCACACTTCTGCTCTCTACTTCAACATGACCCCAACACCCCCACATCCCAAGATTTTCTTCACCTTCAACAGCCTCGGTGATCTCTCTAGGCTCTACTGTGAAATATGCTACAAGAACAGCAGGAACCCATTCATTCATACTCAACTCTACTGGGCGCCTGGTAATAGCTAGGGCTAAAGAAGCAGAGAAGAATGTGCACCATGACTTCTGCCTGCCTGAGGAGCCAGGGCTGGTGTCTCACCTCTATCAGCCACGACACCTCAGTTCCTCTTTCCACCCCTGCCAAGTTCCGCCGACAGGAATGGGTGATGAGCTTGGGCCGTCAGTGCGACCCGTGGAGTTCTGTCTCTAGTGAAGGTGGCCCTGCCCTCTGGCAACTTACAGTTTCATTAAAAAAATAATAATAAATTAAAAAAAAAAAGATGGCCCTGTGAACTTGGAGCTGTCACTTAATGATGCTGAGCGTTGTTTCTTTCATCTACATATTGACCATGAGACTAGCACCTGCTTCACGGAGTGGTTACAAGAACCACTTGGCACAGCAGCCTAGGGTGCTTAATGCATGATGTGAGCACACGTCAAGTAGTCAACGAATATGAGCCAGCACTACTGTGACTCTTTTATGGACTCTGAAGTGTCCCCGGGGCTGTGTTAGAGGTCTGTTCAGGGCACAAGAGAAAGAGAAGTCAACATTATGGGTTGAGGAAGCGAAGTCGGAGAGGCCTTACAGGGGTGGCAAAAGTCGAACCTTTTAAAAGTGAACCCAAGCCACCTTCTCTCAGGAGAAAGTGTCAATGATGGAACCTCAAGGCTTCAGAACAAACGGGGCTTCCCTCAGGGGCCCAGCAGGAAGCTCTTGTGTGAGGCACCACCTGCCCCAGCAGAAGAGAACACAACTGGCCCTGCGTCCTCAGGTCAAACACGAGCTCTTTACGAGACAGACCTCAGCTCAATGTCCTGCTCCTCTTGGCCTCCTTCCACCCTTAAGGTTGGGGAGTCCTATTTGTGTTCCAGAAGCAAATGTTCCAGGTCTGCCAAATCCCAGGGATGAAAAACAGCTTAAAATACTGGTTCAAGAGCCCGGGTCCCCTTTGCAGCCCTGTCACCTCCTCACCATGTCTTGGCACCATTCCAAGCCTCAGTTTCTTCATCTAGAATATGAAGGAAATAACAGTACCTATCTCATAGGTGGCTGTTGGGCTTAAAAGAATTAGTGAATGTACCAGTTGACCCAGCTATCCCACTCCTTGGTTTATATCCAAAGGACTTAAAATCAGCATACTACAGTGACACAGCCACATCAATGTTTATAGCAGCTGAATGCACAATGGCTAAACTATGGAACTAACCTACATGCCCTTCAACAGATGAATGGATAAAGAAAATTGTGGTACATATACATAATTGAATATTACTCACCTTTGAAAAAGAACAAAATATGGCATTTGCCAATAAATGGATGAAAGCAGAGACTATCACACTAAGTGAAATAAAGCAATCCCCAAAAACCAAAGGCCGAATGTTTTCTCTAATAAGACAATGCTGATCCATAGTCTGGCGGGATTGTGCAGAGGGGAGTGAGGGGAGGGGTGGGGCTGTGGAGAAGGGAAGGATGGTAAAATGAGACAGATATTATTACCCTGTATACATGTGTGATTACACTACTGGGGTGACTCTGCACCATATACAGCCAGAGGAATGAGAAGTTGTGCTCCACTTGTGTACAATGTGTCAAAATGCATTCTAATAGCTAATTAGAACAAATTTAAAAATTTAAAAAAGAGAATAATAAGATTCTCTACAAGTCAAACATATTCTCATCTAATGATTTTAGGGAAAAGTTCAATTAAACTAAGTTCTGTTTAAAAAAAAAAAAGAATTAGTGAATGTAAGACTTCAAATAGCATCTGACAGAATCAGCACCTGCTATTGGCTTTAGCTACCTAGTAGGATAGTCACAAACCAGGAATCCTGCTTAGCTTCTAATTCCAAGAGGAGCATAGGAAGTAAGTGACTCACTCACAGGCATGACAGATCCCATCAACCCATCTAACATTTACTAGAAACTATGGCTCCTCATTGATGCCCTCTTACTTCCTCATGGCCATAACCTTGATTCAGCCCTGGGCGCAGCCCAAGGTAGTCAATCGCACTGACCCACCGGGAGAGCTGAGGGTGAGATAGAGTGCAGGTTCATAGGAGAGCTGACATGGCTGGCTGCAGCCACAGTCCAGGCCCAGCCCTGACGTCACTTATGCTCTCCAATATTTAGTTTTCCCATCCCTTAAGCAGGAGTTAGAACCTTGCAGAACTTTTCCAGGGTTTCAATGAACTAGTGCCCATAGAACACCTGAAACAGTCCCTGGGACAGTGAAGCACTGGTAATGTTGGCCATCAAGCTTATGTCCCAGGGCCATTATTTTCTTGGACAAAAAAAAAAAAAAAAAAGATACAGAAATAACATCTACTGGTCAAAGATAATTTTCTGCTGCTTTGGCTGTGCTAACTCAATTTTCCAAAGGAATGTGAAATTTTTGCTCAGGCCCTGAAGTCATCAGGGCTTGAGAAAGCATGCATGTAGATGAATTTTAACAAGTAGACTTTAGCTGTGTCACTTAATTCTGAAGCCATACTTCTTTTTCAAAAGCTCTGTCTTCTCTTTGGTAGTGTTACAGAGGAAGTCATGGAATCACAAAAATGCAGGTCTCTTAGAAAAGCCCTAGTTTAATCCCTTCCTTGCTTTGAAGACCAAAAGAGCATTGCTCTTCTCAGTCTCCCTGTGTTCTGTACTCAAGTGTTGTGCTCTGTAAGCTCCTGGATCCTGGGGTACCTAGAATACCCCAGCTTAAATTATAAAGTACAAGTGGGCCTCACCTGCCCACCTCCCCTCCTTCTCCTCCTGTCCTGTTCTCAAAATCCTCAACCAAGGTTCCCACACTGACGTTGGCCACCTGACACTCCGCACATGTGCCATAGCCCCGCTCTGTCTAGCCTTTCTTTGTCTCCCTTCTTAATATGCCCTGTACAATCCAGGATGGGAAAAGCAATTATCTACCTGAGAAGGATGCACTTAGATTATTTGTCCAACAGGTTCCATAAAAGAAGAGGATAGATAAGTCCTGAACACAAGCTCTCGGGTCTGAAAACTCAGTCTATTCCGAGTTGCAAGAGCATCGCAACGTTTACCTCCATTCCTCTCAAAGTAGCTGAGTGTCTCCCTCTCCTGCCAAATTTAGCAGGTGAGCTGCTGACCCTGCCGAGGTTTGCTGGCACCCTAGCCTGCTGCGGAGGAGGTTTCATAACACCTACCTCATAAGACCTCAAGCCAGAAGCAAAACCCTAGAGACCTTCTTTTCTCGAGGAGAACATTTTCACATCTACACGTGTTTTTTAGTGGGAGGAAAGCCCGTTAGCACATTACAGACACTGAAAATTGGAAGTGCAAATTAAGGGGAGGAACTGAGAGAGAGAGAAAAAAAAAAAAACAGAGTATTAAGTTGTCTTAGGAACACTTTCCACTGGGCCTCTAAGCTGAAAGGAACCAGGTCATCTGGTCTATCCCCCTGCCTCTGGACACAACATCACTTGATCCTCTAAGTCCTGACTAACACAGATCATGCCATTATTTCCAATCACAGAAAATGGGATTCCCTCACCTGAGTAACTTGTTTTAGCATTTAGCATCTTTTCTAGCCAGAAAGCTCTCCCTTACCATCACTAGCCATAGGTCATCAAATTCCTAAAGGCAGCCATTCCTCTGATAGCCACTGAACAGCTACATTAAGAGGACAATACAGTTTGCAACCTGTACCAGATAGCACAGCTGCTCCGTACACACACAGAGCTGGGCTGACAGCTGCTCTGTACACACAGAGGTGGGCTGCGTGTGCGGAAGTGCATGCATGAGGGCCTTCATCCCTGATAGCGCCTGCCGGCCACATCTCCTTATTAGAGCTTTTGAAAATTCCCTATCACAGCAAAAGCTGAATAGACATCCTGGGGTGGGGGTTGTTTTTGCTTTTTAACTGAGCATAACGAGTTGGCATTCATGACTTGGCTCCTATCAGTGACTTTGGACAGCATCTTCTTCATTCCTGTGAAGGAGGTGGCAAATTCATGTTTAGATGAATTTCTCAATGCTTATATTCCAAACAAATAAGCAAAGGCTGCTGCATGCCTCAGATGTTGTTAAAAAGGGAGTGACATGTCACATGAGGACACCTGCATATCTGAGGAAGCCTGTGAAGCTGTGAGATAGAAGGTCCTAGAAGAACACTACCAGAGTTCAAAGGAAGGCAAGGCAGGTCCAGCATGTTGCTTGTGGTATACAAAGCGTGTTGCTTGTGGTATACACGTGAACTCACATGTATCACTCGGTGGATCTATCTTCCTTACCACAAACCAGTGGTTCTCAGTGCAAAAGAGGGAAGCAGAGGGTTTGGGCAGAATTCCTTAAGAGTCCTTTGAAAATGACATGACTTTTAACCTCCCATTCAGCTGAAGGGCAGATGGGGAAAGCAAAATTTTGATGGAGAGCAAGCAAAAGTCCATGACCTGACCTTCCCCATTAAAAGCCAATGAT